TGTTGTTGTTATGTGCCATCGAGTCGGACCCGACTCATAGCGACCCCTCCTTGGGTTGCCGAGGCAGTGTCACTATGGAAGTAGATTGCTCAACCTTCCTTCTGAGGAGTGGCTATACTACCAGAGCTCCTTTATAATATTTATGTGTTTTTAAATAACAATCTACTTTTATAACAAGCTCTGGAGATAACAGATGGATTAAAGATTATTTTCTTTTGGTGTCTATCCTGTTTGGGGTTCATTGGAGTTGCTGAATGGATATATTCTCATCTTTCATCATATCAGGGAAATTGTCTTCCAACAAATCTTGGACAATTTTCTCAGTGGTTTCATTTTTCTCTTCCTGTTCTGGAATTCCAGTGACACATAGGTTGTTCCTTTTGATGGTATCCCACATGAAACCTTAGGCTTTCTTCATTTTCTTTTGATCTTTTTTTCTTATTGATCCTTTCCAAAGAAGTATTCAGGTATTTGTCTTCAGTCTCATTAATTCTGTCTTCCATTGCATCAGTTCTACTCCTTTGCCCTTTCAATGTGTTATCTGTTTCTGGCAATTTAGTTTTAATCTTCTGGATTTCTATCTGTAGATTTTGAATCATTTCTAATTTTTCATTTATTTCGTCATTTTGTTCTTGTATTTTCTTCCAGAATTGTTCTAGGGTTTTACCTGTGTTTTCCCCAATTTTGTCGGTGTTTTCCTTGATCTGTTTCCCAATCCTTTGAAGATATCTAAATATAATTCTTTTGAATTCCTTATCAGGAAGTTCCAATGCTACCTCTTCCTCAGGGATGTGTTCTGGATCTGTATCCTGCTCCCTTGTTTCTACCACTTTATCTTTCTTCTTTGTGTGGACCGTGATGGTGTGTTGTCTCCGAGACAGTGTGACGTTGTTGTATTTAGATCTCTGTTTACTATTTGTGAAGAGCAGTTAAGGGTGAGTTAGGCTCTTCTCGGTGGTCGTTTATGGTTGGCCAGTTGGTGGAGAAGGAAGTGGTGGCTCTCAGTAAGTGAAGCTGCAGGAGGTGTGGGTGTAATTGTGTCGTATGGGCACTGTTGTTGTCTCCCACTCAGACAAAAATAACAATTGAATAACCATCAAAAAAGTAAAAGCACATGGAAAAAAACACACCATGTA